AGAAGCAAAGTTGACGGGGCGGTGCTCGCATTGCAGCCACAACGGGCACAACTCCCGGACTTGCCCCAACCGAGTGGTCAAGTTGTTTGGGGTCCGATTGACTGACGGGTCGATCCGGAAAAGTGCTAGTATGGGTAATTTAAGTCACTATACTGGGTCTTCTAATGTGGGCGGGCCCCTCGCTTCCGGTCCTAACAATCCCGGATCACCTGGTGATACCCCTGATCACGGTATTGCCGCCGCCTCCGCCGGTTATGCTTCTGAGGATTTCGTTTCTGGGTCCTCTTCGAGTCGTGAGAGAAAGAAAGGTTGATTTGAATTATGTGAAGTAACTAATTTAATTATGTTTCAATCTCCCTTATCATGATTTGATTTGATTTGTGATCATTAAATTAGAACTGGGTTGTCCTTCATGAGATTGTTTTTTCCATGTTTAAACGTTTAAAATTGTGTTCCTTTATGCCTTAATCTGATTTTATTTTGTTAGAGATAAACAAGTGCGAGGTTTTTTTTTTTTTCTATAGAAAGAAAAAAAAAGTCCATGTTGGGTTGTTAGTGAATTCAGTTATTGAAGTTTCCGAAAAATGAAGTCTTAGTCTGGTTAGGAGATTTTTTTTTTTTTTTGGGGGGGGGGGTAGGATTCTTGTTTTGTTTTCTGGAAACAAATGAGGGGTTGAAGTTTACATTCTTATTAATTGAGTGCTATAAAGACCTGATAATGTTGTCTGTAATTATTTGTTCGGTATCTGAGATGAGGACAAGAAAAGAAGATTGTACTTTATGCCTGGTTTTTACTTTGTTTTTCAGAAAGTGAAAGGCTTCGCTTAAATAAGCAAATTGTTTTCCTGGGCACATTTTATTGCTGCTGTATTGGTTCTCCGTGTCCCATCCCATTTATGCAGACGAAGCCCTTATTGGTGTGGGATCTTTCCCTTTTGGCTATTTCATTTTTAGCTAGGCTCCTATGGAGTTAATTAGTTATTTACAGTCCGCATAGTTGACTGATTTTTTTGTTTCTTGGAAGAATGTCTGCCTCAAATCTTTGTTTGTGTTTTTGGAAAATAAAGCCCCATCATTTAAAATGATGAAATAAAGAAAACCTCGAATATGACACAGACAGTATGGGTTCTCTGAACACCCATATTTTAGGCTTGTCCTGGTTTATCGAGGGTTGGTGGAGGAAAGTAGGGACGGAAATTTCCATACAAGAAAACTTTTGATGAACATTGTGCCTTCCAAACTAGAAATTTTGTTTGTAGCTCCAAAAAATCGCAGATATTCAGCAAGGAGTTATGAGGAACATGTGGTATCAGATTTATATGTTTCTTGTATTGGTATATGCGCTCTTTCATCCTGAATGACTAATAACAAGTGGTGCAGGTGTTCCATGGACTGAAGAGGAACACAGAATGTTTCTACTAGGTCTGCAGAAGCTTGGTAAAGGTGACTGGCGTGGAATTGCTCGTAATTATGTTATATCAAGGACACCAACTCAGGTGGCCAGTCATGCTCAGAAATATTTCATCAGGCAAAGCAATGTGTCTAGGAGGAAAAGACGTTCCAGCCTGTTTGATATAGTCGCTGATGAAGTGAGCTCTGTTTTTTCTTTATTGTCTATCTGAGCAATGAATCACACGTTCAAGTGCAGCTTCATCTCCATGCCACATTAAAATATCACTTTATGCTTCTTTATCATGATATTCCACCCATCTCCTGTTACCTCGTCATTTTATTGATGCATCAAGTTTACAACTCTTGATTCTTCCCACCCTTTTGAGTTGTCTGATGTATATTTTTCCCTGTCCATTCTGCATTTGCAGCCAGGAGACACTCCGATGGAATCACAGGACTTCTTGTCTACAATCGAACAAGAGTCTGAAGCACAAAGTGAAAAACCAGTGCCTGTCCCTCCTCCTTTGGATGAAGAATGTGAATCTATGGATTCTACCAACTCCAACGATGGGGAACCCCCACCTCCTAAGCCAGATAGTTCACAGTCTGCTTATCCAGTAGTATACCCATCTTATTTCTCACCTTTCTTCCCATATTCTTTTCCATTTTGGTCGGGACACAGTGCGGAGCCCACAAAGACAGAGACACACGAGGTTCTTAAGCCAACAGCAGTGCATTCAAAAAGTCCAATCAATGTTGACGAGCTGGTTGGCATGTCAAAACTGAGTTTGGGAGAATCTATTGGCCAGGATGGCCCCTCTTCTCTTTCCCAGAAATTGCTTGAAGGGTCACCAAGACAATCTGCTTTCCATGCTAATCCAGCATCTAACAGCTCGAGCATGAACGGAAGCAGCAGCCCAATCCATGCAGTTTAAAGGCAGCTTTGCTGCTATTGAAATCGTAGGTTAGCTCAGTGCTGATGAGCTTCACAATTTACAGTCTATATCAGACTATAACGTGCAGGCTGGTTTGGGTTTACATTCTTTTGTGGGATTCTTGTAATAATGTTGTTCTTTTAAGTTCTAGCATTAACTTGTTGAAGTTAGTCTTATGTAGGCTGTTAGCATCTTGTCTAAAGTTATTTGAATCTTCAACGTTATCTCTGTGCATTGTGTATTCTGTTTGCTGCACCTTTCTCCATTTATCAGTGCTGATTGAGAATGTCAGTCAGAAAACCTTAACTGAGAACTGTACTTATTTGACGTTGTGGGAATTACTGATAAAGTAGTTTCAACCAATCTTCAGTGAGCTAGAGATAGGGTCGGAAACCGAAAACCTGTGACCAGCACGGACATTTTCTTTTTAAGTTTCGAGATCCATATCAAGCTGCTTCCACGTATGGCATGGGGACCCTGTTGCGTTTTGAAGAAACTGATGAGCATTGTTTTTCAAACGACGTCGTTTAATTAGCCTTGATGAGAAGCATCAAGATAGATCACGGAAGTCCAGAATGGGCCTCCATCTGCATGCGCGGCACCATGCAGCTCTTAGCTGCTCAACTCATAGCTTCTGAAATTGAGAAATTCAATGCCACATTCTTGGGGAAAATTAAGGGGCGAGGGCCTTTGATTTTTATGTTCTTGATAGTTTAGGCTTCCCCTCCCTTTAGCATAGTTGATGGTGAAATAAGGGTTTATCTAGGAAAATCATGGACTTGGGGGTGCTGTGGATGCTAGTGGGTATGGGTTTGTGAGTGTTGACATTAAAAGAAATTCTTAATTGTTTTTTTTTAAAGTGTTTTTTAAATTTTTTATTTTTTTAGTTTTAAATTAATATTTTTTGAGATTTTTGATACATTAATATCAAAAATAATTTTTTTAAAATAGAAAAAATATTATTTTAATATATTTTTATACATAAATATACTCTCAAATAAAAAAAAAATCTTATATGTGGCTTCTTGGTGAAAATCTGAGTAATTGTGTCAGTTTTTTTTTTAAAGCTAATGCTTTTCTAGATTTCTTTCTTCACTGTTTATAGGTAATGCAATTTTGTCTCTTTCTTGATCCCTAAGCAACTGATTTTATTTTGGTGTTTTTGTTTTCTTGCCTTGTGCTTTAATCTCTTTGTTCTATTTTTTTTTATTTGGATTTTTTTAAAAAATATCAACATCAACTCAATGAAAAAAATTAATGCAATTTTTTTTTGAAAAACAAATGTTTGAATTTTAAACTCTTTTTAAAAAAATGTTGGAAATAATGCAAAGATATCAAAATATACTTTTTAGATTTTTTTTTATTTTTTTTGCTATTATTGGATTTCTCGGAAGAAAATTGAAAAAGAGAGAATAAAAATTTAGGTTATGAGCGATAAAAGATTTCAAATTTTTTTTTCTGTTTTTTAAATAAAAATCCGTTTCTATTAGTGTTTTCCAAGTTCTCAAATAATTTTTAAAACAAGATTAACTAAAAGTAAAACACGCTTCTGTTATAAGTTATTAAGAATTATAAATCTACTCCAAAAATCCCACACACACACACACACACATATTTGAAATTAACTAGCAGGCCTACTGGGCCGACAGCCAGACGTTCATCGGAAGGTGTCTCTTCGAAGTTCCAACGTTAAAACAAAAGCAAAAGGAAGAAGGAACCGAAAGAAAGAAAGAGAAGAAACAATGAAGAATGCTGCCTTCAATCTTGACAAAAACACAACAAAATCATCATCATGGATCAAGAAAAAACAAACTCAACGTCTCAAATCTCCGCTTTCTCTGTTACTAATTCTCTCTCTCTTCCTCTTTATTTTCCTTTTCATCTCCTTCTTTAAAATAACCCCCAATTCACTTTTCTCCAAAACCATTAGAGATAATCCTCTAATCTCGCAATGCACCAGATTCCAAACCCTAGCCCTAGGAGAGAAGTTCCTATGGTATGCACCACACAGTGGGTTCAGCAACCAGTTATCAGAGTTCAAGAATGGGATTTTAATGGCTGGGATTTTGAATAGAACCTTAATTGTGCCTCCTGTTCTTGATCACCACGCTGTTGCTCTTGGTAGTTGCCCTAAATTTAGGGTTTTGGGACCTAAAGAGATTAGGATTTCAGTTTGGGATCACGTTCTTGACCTTGTTAAGACTGGCAGGTGAGTCTGCTCTCTAGCCTTTACTGGGTTTCTTTTGCATTTCATGGTTCTTGTGTTAGTATGTTATTTCAGTTTTTTATTCTGAGTTTAGTTTAGGCAATGAGATCCGGTCAATATTTTGAGGACTATTATCAGGTGGTGAGAAAACTGTAGCAAGGAGAAGAAGTAGAACCTTTGCTTTACTTAGAATCTGAAATTGAGATCTCTGAGGCTCACAATCATAAATTTTGAAGTAAGTTCCCCGTGGAAAACCAGCTAAATATTTTTTTCTACTGTTTTTTTTTTTATATAAAAAAAATCAAGACCTACTTCTATCTCTGAACAAAGGAATGCCAAATTGTTCGGCTTAGACTAGCACGCATTTTTGGATGCGGTTGATTAAATAGCCTTATTTTTTAATCTCAATTGTTGAGAAATGTAAGACTTGCACAGTATTTTTGAAATTATTTCCCAGCAGCCTAACAAGCTTTAATGTCTTGCCCTGCTGTTTTCTGAGTGCTAGGGTATGGAGACTATGCCTCACAAGCTTTATATCTCTCTGCTTTCACATCAATTAATGAAGGAATACTCAATTTGTTTAAGTTTATTTGAATATGCCTTGCCCTTTTGTTCTGAAGAACAGGTGTATCATATTTCTTCAATTGAATACTCCAATCCTCTTCAAGATAAGCTTATGTATATTCCTTTGTTAATTTCCAGGTATGTCTCTATGGCTGACATCATCGATATTTCGTCTCTGGTACCTTCTTCCATTCAAGCGATAGATTTCAGGGTTTTTGCATCGCTATGGTGCAATGTGAATATGGATTTCACCTGTTCAAATGATTTAAATTCTCAATCTTCTTTGTTTGATAGCCTCAACCTGTGTGGATCTATACTGTCTGGGATTGACGGTAATGTAGACAAGTGTTTATATGCTGTAGATGAAGATTGCAGAACCACTGTTTGGACTTATAAGAATGGTGACGAGGATAGAGTGTTTGATTCATTTCAACCTGATGAACAGCTAAAGAAGAAAAAGAAAATTTCATATGTTAGGAGACGCCAGGACGTATACAAGAGCCTTGGACCTGGTTCTGAAGCTGGATCAGCCACTGTCCTCGCATTTGGAAGTCTTTTCACTGCTCCATACAAAGGGTCGGAGCTATATATTGATATCCATGAAGCACGAAGGGATCAAAGGATACAATCTTTGATTGGCAACAGTGAATTTCTTCCTTTTGTCCCTGAAATCCTAAATGCAGGGAAGAAGTTTGCTTTAGAGACCATAAAGGCTCCTTTTCTTTGTGCGCAGCTCAGGTTGTTGGATGGACAGTTTAAGAACCACTGGAAAGCTACATTTCAGGGCTTAAAACAAAAGCTAGAAGTTTTAAAGCAGAGTGGATCTAAACCTGTACATATTTTTGTAATGACCGATCTTCCTCAAGGTAATTGGACTGGAAGTTTCCTGGGGGACATGGCTAGTGAGGTTAACCATTTTAAACTACACTTTTTGAGAGAAGAAGATGAGTTGGTCAAGAAAACAGCAAAGAATCTTGCAGTTGCTGGGCATGGCCTGAGGTTTGGACCTGTTCCGAGGAGTCTTAATGGAGAGAGCAAGATGAAGATGAATTGTTCATATCAGAGGTTACCCGACATACTTTTGTACATAGAGAAAAGTGTTTGTAGCTGTGCTTCCCTTGGTTTTGTTGGGACTGCTGGGTCAACTATTGCCGAGAGTATAGAGTTGATGAGGAAATCTGATGTATGTTCTAAGTCCTAGTCTGACTGCAACATGACAGTTGGTCCTGGTTGTTAGATTGATGCATGCCTGGGATGGGTTTCTTTTGATCCCAGTTGACAGCATCGCAAGCGTGATGAATCTGAGTTTCCGCATGTATATTTTTCAGCAAAACAAGTGTTGGTGCCACTCTCATGCAACCTTGTTCTATCCTATGATGCTCAGCGACTCAAAGTGCATGCAAGAGTAGAACCTTTTTGTCTATGAAGATTCAACTCCTACACTGGAAGGAATTTTCTGCATTCCATTTCAATTATGCTGTTTTAATTTCTATACTGCTTTCAGGAAAGAGAGTCATCCATAAATTTTGATAGGTAGTTTTACTGCGCTGAGATCAATTGTGATTGTAACTTAAGAATGCAAGTCGGATAGTTTAATAAACACAGAGGGTTCTTCGTATTTTGGACTTCTACAAAAAACAAATAACTACATGGGCCATCAGGCTTGCACAAAAAGGCCATGATAACAAATATTGGAGCAGCACTTGTCCAAAACTCAACCATGTGAGTCGTCCACTCGTAGATTCCATATGTTGTATCATGGGCCCATGGCGTGTTAAGCTCCAGCAAGTCTTGCTCCCATCTAGTCTTTTTCTCAAACAATCAGAAAAAAAATGTATTTTCATATTAATTTGGTATACATAAAAGAGTTCATTAAATCTTGCTTATAAAATGTATTTTTAAATCACAAAACAAAAACCCTTAAAGCTTCAACATTCAATAACTTGCACGTTAATAGCATGGCTGGATAGCTCCAAATGTTTTTTGTTTTCCCGTCCAGTTGTATTAAGAAAGCCATCGACAAAAGCGTGATGAGAAGGGCCAGAGGAGATCGATCTTCTTTTATCTCCAATCACAAGAGAAATAGCAGTCCAAGAATAACGTGCTTAAAAATGAGAAATAGGACACCATGATCCTTCTTTATCCACGGAGAATCAGAATCTGGTCTGCATGCCATTGCGGACCACCCACGTGCCTGAGAAAGTGATTTTCCACCCTTTCCTCACTCTTCTTCTTCCTCCTTTTCGTGTCCTTGCACGCTTTTTTTCTTTCTTTGACGCGTGGTCGGGGACTCTGCGAGGATTTATTAGGTAGTCTTTGAAATTATAGTAATAAGATTTTCCACCCTTATGATTTTTTTTTGGTTGGTTTGAGCAGAATTTGATATGATCTATCACAAAAAAAAAAAAGTGTGTGCATGCTTAAAGTTCATATTAACTCTGTGCTAATTATAGCAAAAGTGTGTGCATGCTTAAAATTCATATTAACTCTGTGCTAATTATAGCAGTAATTTATGAATGAGTTATAAAAGTACTTTGAGCAAACTTTTAAAAAGTCCACAGCCTACAAAAGCATTTTAAAAATTCTTGATATATCAATAAAATTTCCAATCAAATCCTTCAAATAGTATTCGATGAAGTAGTCACATGAAATTTAAGTGGGATAGACTGGGAACACGTGCAAATATATTTTCTTACTCTTTCGTTATCTAAATAGCGTTTGAGATTGTGGTTTTCAAAGTATTTTTAATATAGAAATATATTAATTTTCTTAATTGTTGATCAAGTTAAAAAACCTCAAAAAGGGAAAAATGAATAAATAGAATTAATTACAGAGGGATGAAATTGATTAATATGAATTGTTGATAAAAAGATGGTTGAATAGGAGATAAAAGAGTGAGGTTAAAATGAGGATTTAGAGAGTTTGAGGGACTATGAAGAAAAAATAGAAAATGAGGGGCATAAGTACATAAATGGCTGTTTAGGGTGAGAAAAGGAGAGGAACTGGGTGATTTTTATTGACTTTTTCACTTCAAGCTTCATTGTTAGTTTGATTCATTCATTAATATTACTGTGCCTTGTGACATCAAAGAATTGATATATATTGGTTGATTAGATTTGGAATCATGGAATATTAGATGAAGGAATAGTATGTAGAATTTAATGGATTTATTATGAATTTATAAAATGAATACCATGTGGTTGAATTGATGATGATATATGATTGAATAATATAAAAACTATGATGTTTTAAATATAAAAGAAACTCCGTCAAAATTTTAATAAAACTAAAAAAATATTAATGTGTGTATGCGTGCATAGAAATTTTCTAAGTTTTAATTATCCTAAACTTGAGATTATGTATAACAACTTGGAGTTTTAATAAAAACATTAAATGACTAATCAATCATTTAAAAAAACTTTAATGTTATTAATTTTTAATGTTAATTTTTTTAAGTTAAAGGATAAAACTATTATTACATTATTTTAATAAATAACAGAAATGAAATGAATATGGAGTTAAAGTATTTTTCCAAGTCGAATTAATTTCTTTTAATAGCTTATCTCTAAACTAAGTGAATAGAGAGAGTCAATCTCATGCACAAACTCATCAAATAATTTTCTGAACATAAAAACCAAAAGAAAAAACTCCCCCCTTCAAAACATGTGGAACAAAGATAATAGTAACATAAATTCATTTTAGCCTATCTTTTCCTCCTTTTTATCACAATTAATCTTATTTATGTGATAATTTTCTTTCTATTATTCTTGTTCCTGGTTACTAAAAAAATTAATTTTGTTTATGTGGTAATATTTTATTTATTTATTTGTCTAAACCAATAAAAACAATAAACAGGAGTACAAGTTAATGTTGTGCCTCTGGAACAATGCTTAACAACTTAAATGGAACTCTATATTGAAACGAAGAGATAAATCAAATTAAATTTCAATATCTTTAGACCACAAGGACATGAAAAGTAATTAACTTGTTAAGACATGTGCGAGTTCCATCAGTTTCTCCATACATTACTGCTATCATCAAGTCTGTCAATGCACCTTTGTAGACCTTTGTTGTTGAAAACAAAACAAGATTTTTGAAAAACATGTATTCTTGAGTTTATTTAAACCAATTATAAATAAAATGTGATGATATGCTTGGAAAAAGAAGAAGGAAAAGGACTGTGTCTTGAAAGAAAATATAGCATGCAAATTCTTACATATCTTTCTAAGATATGATTGCTGAGAATTTAATCCCTGTTTGGTTGGAAAATTAACAATTTTATTATTGTCTTTACTGTGAATGATTCATCCTTGAGAATTCATTATTGAGAATTCATTAGGAATGCAAATACACACACAGAAAGAACATTATGTGTGTGAAACTAATATATTAAAATTGTAACTGATGAACAATAACTTTGATTTCATAAAACTATAATTATAAGTAAAATACTATATCTACCACCAAATTATGGAACATACATAATGTTTAATTATTTTTAATTATATTCTAGAACACACAAAACACACTAATCACTTGAAACATTTGTGTAATTATTAATTAAAATTAATTAAAAAAGGGTATATTAGACAATTTAACAGGAAAGATGAGATCATTGAATTAAAAAAAAAATCACAATTCCAAAGCCTTGCATCTCAAATTCCCTTCATTTTAGAGGGGAATTGCTTTCCTGGATTTTAGAGGGGCATTTTACGTTTTCTAACTTTGATTTTCTTGGAATTATCTCATGAGATCAAAGGTGTATTAGTCTTTTTTATAATTAAAAAAAGATTGGCGAGAGCAACACGTGCTAGCAAGTGGTGACGCATGTGATGCCTCTCTATGGCGGTTAGTAGCCTTCTGTAGCGGTGTTCGAAGCATCATGCCATCCCCTACATAATGGGACACTGCTTGTCAGCTTCTATGGCATGGAGGAGCTTCGACGATAATTTTTCTTCTTCCTCTTTTTTGTTTTCTTATCCACTTCAAAAGGTCTGTTAGTCTTGTAAAGTGGTCCTCAATCATTTAATTGTATCGAATGTGATTTACATATTTTTTAATTTCATCTATTCACATTTTATTGTTTATGTTTTTTAATCGAATGTTGATCCTTATTCTTTTGATTCCAATTTATTTTTTGATTTAATCCATGATTATTTGATTTTAATTCCTTTTTTTGTTGAATTTGATTTTTTTTTCTTATGATTGCAATTACTTTTATTTTGAGTTTTCTTCTTGATTATTTTTTTTTTTGCAATTTTATACCTTATTGTTTAATTTCATCGAAGTTTTATATTATATTTGATGCTTTTTAGATTACTGGGGCAATCAAATTCTTTTTAGATTTTTTAAGATTCTTTTTATATTTTTTTTCAGTTTCATCCATTTTCATTTAATTCTATATTATTATTTTTTAGTAATTTTTATATCAAATTTGGTTCTCATTGTTTTAATTACTATTTGTTTTCTTTTTAATTTTTTGATGGTTAAGAGATTTGTTTAGGATTTGTTTTTGATCTTCTATATGATCATTTTAGTCTCATGACCAGAGTTGCTGGTTCTAAAGATTAGCCCGATTTTTTTTTTAATTTCATTATTTGGCATTAAACTATGAGGCCTAGAGCTTTCTATTTTCTTCCCTTTCATTCCTATAAGGTTATCTTATATAGCGAGTTAATCAAATTAACCCGAGTTCATTTGCATAATTATATAAACAACCATTTGAATATCTTTTTTTATGTTAAAAAAATTGACCAGCCCCACAACATATCATGGATAAAAAAATTTAACCCAGAACTATAAATGGTAATCACATTAATCACTTTATCATTTGCATGGACATACCAACAATGGTGCATGATTATATAAACAACCGTTAACCTTAAAATATGTTATTATCATATAGATTTTTTATTCTAAGAAATCATCTCCATAATCTTTGTCAAGCCAAGTTCTGTAAATACAAATAATACGATTTGAAAGGTTACTTTTCTACATCATTAGACCTACCTTAATTAAGCATTAAAATGTCTCCTAAACTCAACAATTAACTTGTCCATATAAAATAAATAAAAAATAAATTATCAAACTTAATTTTTAATTAACTCGATATTGGAGAATAAAGTTGAGAAGGAAATTCAATAAAAAAAAAGATAAAAAAATAACCTTAGTCAACCTGGCTAACCTGCAAAACTCACGATCCAAGTCATGAACCACAATAACCTTATCGAAAGAAAATCAAAAAACAATTACAAATCTAAATTCTCAATCAACTCAATGTTAAAAGATGAAATTGAAAAAAAAAATTAAAAAAGGTAAAAAAATAACCCAAGTCGCACAGCTAATACGCAAAACTCATGACTTGAATTATGAGATTTGGATAACTTCATAAAAAACAAATAGAAATAAATTATAAAGTCTAATACTTAGTAAATCTAATGATGGAGGATAAAATTAAAGAAGAAAAGCCATAAAAAAATTTTGCGGACCAAAGTGAAATAAGCCTTGACATTTCACTACTTATTGCTATAATTAAATGTCAAGAGCTTTTAGTATATACTAGATTTTTTTGCATGCACAATGCCTTGAGGCGTATAAATT